GCACATATTTGCGTTGTACCTCGGTGCAATTCCAATAAAGTTTATTCTGATTCTGATTCTTCTGATATATATATATATATATAGTATGAGTAGCACAGAAGAAAGGGCAATGGGAAGATGACGTGATTGCCTCATCCTAAGTTGGGCTGAGTGAGTGTCAATAGAGAGCTGTTAATACTGATGGGAAACGTGCCAGGAGTCCTACAGGAAGGGATTGAACCATGCTTGTCCCTGAAATGGACATAGATAAAAGGATGGGGAGAAGTTTTGGAAAAGGTGTGGTGGGCTGGGCAAAGTATAATGAGACAAGGGAGGAAATGACAAACAAATAGGAGAATGTGTGTCGGGGGAGAAACGAGGGACAATCAAGGTGTATAGAAACGCCAAAATCACTCATTAAAACACAAACATTTCAGACTCCTCATATCCCTATTGAACACTCTTTGAAGCTGATTGCTCTCTGTCCCTTGTCACCTTCATCATTCACTCATTTTTCTTCCCCTCACCATGCCCTTGCTCTCCCTCTCATCACCCTTGCATTACACACATGCACACAGTTTGAACAATTCCCTGTTTCACCTCCCTTCTCAACACCAATCTGCTGGCTCAGTGCCCCTTATCCCTCTGCCCTAAAATACATTTGGCCACAGGTTTGAATTCACAAGCAATAAAACTGTCTGGGGGCTACAAAGACTGCACAGAATACACACGATAGCCTGTTGATTTTGGGAGTGTAGCACAGAAATGAGAATGGAAAACACACTGGTGAAATCATAACAGGATCATTATCTCTGATTCCCTTTTCTTGATTAACAGTGAGCATGATGGTGAAGAGGGGTTTTAAATGACGCCAAGCTGAGCTGTAATATGTAGCCAAGAAGTATTACAAAGACACGTCATACCCAGTATGCAGCACTCCCGCCCTTCCCATATAGGCAAAACCTCAGCTGACAAACCACATCTACACACCCACTCCCATCTTCTTCCAGCACCAGCCTTCAGAAAGAAGACCATTAGCACACAGAAATGACTAATAAGGGAAGAGGAAGTGAACTGTAGAGTGCGTGTGCTCTGTGTGTGTGTGTGTGTGTGTTTCTACATACACATATATACAAACACACTAATACAATGATATGATTCCACAGAGAGTGTGAGAGAGAGGGAGAGAGAGAGAGAGCTGTTGCCTCAGACTAATGTTAGCTTCTCCAAATTACTTTAAGTTCACACTGGGCAACAAGCCAAATAATTATATGTGCAGCTGTTACAGTTGATTTGTAGGATAGACTGCAGACCAGGACCTATATTTTTACACACAAACACATGCACAGTATGTTCATTCATTCAACCTTATTTATACAGGTTAGTCTCATTGAGTCACGAGGACTCGTTTTCAAGAGACCCCTTTTAAACAAAAAACCCACAGATGAGGTACACACAACAATAAAGTCATAAAATGCATATAAAATGAAAAGGTAAATAAAAGTAGATGTATAAAACAAAATAAAAACAAGCTACATTATATATCTATATTCATAGATATTCACAGAATCAGACGTGCTTGGCATAGGATGCAAATGTATGGGATGGACAGAAGTGCTCAGTTTTATTTATGGGGTTTTTTTGCAATTTTTTTTTTATTTTTATTTATGTAGACTAACAGATACATTTACAGAAAGTGGACACGTAGATTTTTAGCTATCTGAGATGCCAATAAGAACTGTGTGCTACACACATGACCATATTCTTTTTAAATTATAATTGTGTTATTAACATTTTTCAGTGTTCTAAGTGCGAAAACTCGCACGACCAGGACCACCAATATTCTTCAGACCCAGTTTGTCGACCCAGTTGGCTACCTTTATGTTTGACACACATACACACAGATTGTTAATCTTCTCATGACAATACATAAAAATAATTCAGGAAAGTAAATACTGTAGTCCCTTGTTTATTGCAGGGGTTACGTTCCGGACGTCCTTGCATTAAGTGAAAATCTGCGAAGTTGGGACGTATTTATTTTATTATTTTTATATATTTTAAGGTTTTAAAAACACTTCCCACACTCTTGCAATGTTCTGAACTCTTAAACCCATGTCATTTAAACAGTACATACATAAGTACTGTGTAGTACTGCAAAATTTTACTCACCAGCTCTGCAGAAACAGTGGCTCGGTTCTTGTCGGTCGGGTCAAGTCGGGTTTGTTCCGGTTCTGCAGATCTACCCTGCAGCAATGAAGCCCATAGTGTTCTAAACTCTTAAATATATGTAATTTTAACAACATGCGTATATGTAGCTACTAAATTTTACTCACCAGCTCTGCAGAAACAGTGGCTCAGGTCCGGTCCGGCAAACCTACCCTGCCGGTTCTGGTCAGGTCGCCAATCCCAGTGGGCTCTGAAGAGAATGCCGGACCACCGGGCTGCGTCTCACCGCTCACCTGGGCTGGCAAGCAGCTTGCAAATTGACTGATGAGTCTGGAGTCCGGTTCTGGTCAGTGCTCTTGAAGCCCTTGAGCACCAAAACGCTTTTGCAGGGAGCCAGACCTTCAGATGGCCAGTGTGGTCTCGATCGAGCCCAAATCTAGATGAAAAAAGTCCCGGTGTGCTCCAAAGAGAATGCCAGACCTCTGGAAGGTGCTTCCCAGCTCGGAAGGCCTTGTGGGCCAGCAGGTGGCACTCAGATTCACCAATGAGTCTGGAGGTCCGGTTCAGGTCCGGTTCTCGGTGGGTTCCATGTGGCTCTCTGCATCCGCTGGGCACCAAAGTCACTGTATGAATAAGGACCAAACTTTTTTGAATCGGATAAGAACTTCCCCTCCATTTCAGCAGAAAGCAACGGGGCTTCTGGGTGGGGAACTTCTGGGAAATGTAGTCATTTTGAGTGGTGATGCGGTATAGGCTTATTGAGAGAAAACTACAAAATGGCAGCATCCGTCCGAAGTATTTTTTTCATTAACTTTTTACTGTGCATTATCCCGTACTGCCCCAATCATATGAGGAATATTAAAGTTGACAATTTTGTGTGTGTGTGTGTGTGTGTGGGGGGGGGGGGGGTGTTCTTGGGTAAAATTTTACTTTAAAAATCTGTGAAAGAGCGAGTCTGCAAAAGTTGAACCGCAAAGTAACGAGGGACTACTGTAATCTGTTAAATGTTCAGTATCTGGTCCATGTTTTTCAATTATAACAACTCTTGGGACTTGTTCAGAAGAATCAGACTTAGAAGATTCTTGTAGGACTGCATATCTTCAAGGTGTTTTCCATGTTGCATTCACACCCTGGATAGTTATAGGCTCTGCTGGCAGTTTGTAAATTAATCATAATCGCATAATTTCTCTATTGGGCATAGGCTTACTAATTCCCAAGCTTTGGTCTATTCTTCTGTATTTTGTTACATTTTTTTTGTTATGCTAGTTGTTCTTATGGACAACTATATGTTTACAATCTAAAAAAGTTAAATCTGGTCCTCTGGACATTCAAAAAAACAAAACAAAGCAAAACAACAAAAAAATGTAGAAACATTTCGTCTCTCATCCGAGAGACTTCCTCAGTCTGAGGTGCTGTATTCAGCTCGGTCTCTTAAATAGCACCTTCTCAGAGTGGATCAACCAGTTTTTGCTGCTGACAACCAAAACCAGCTGATCACATGCTCAAGAAGGACCATCAGCCTAACAATGGATCATTAGCACACTGATGGCTGTTTACTATTCACAGAGGGCTGAGTGATACTAGCAATCACAACATTGTAAGAGGGGGACAATTTAACACATAGGCCTCCACCCCTGTTTAACGATGGACGGTTTCTTTTCACAAAGATGGCCTCCTTTACTCCTCTCTCAAACCATTGTTCCTCTCTATCCAGGATGTGAACATCTTCATCCCTGAAAGAGTGAGGAGGTGAGGAGTCAGGTGAGGAGCTGAATACAGCACATCAGACTGAGGAAGTCTCTCGGATGAGAGACGAAACGTTTCTACATTTTTTTGTTGTTTTGCTTTGTTTTGTTTTTTTTTGAATGTCCAGAGGACCAGATTTAACTTTTTTAGATTTTTCTACCTGGATTATTGAGCATGCATCAGGATATAAGTTTACAAGTTTTTATCTTTCATAATGATGGAATACATTGGTGTGTTTATTTGTAATCATCAATAACACAACTACATTGTATAAATCAATCACTATACAGTTTGTGATAGATGGTTATGTCCATGACGGGAGAAGACTTACTCGAAGACCTAAAACTTAGGAGACATTCTCTTCATCCTCAGTTATCTTGGACCAAATATAAATCTGGGGTATTTTTTTAAATATTCATTCATTCATTCATTCATTCATTCATTCAACCTTTATTTAGCGAGATAAGAACTATGAAGAAAGGGGCCGAGATGGAGTAGAGGTAGGGCAGCCGACTTGGGACCAGAAAGTCTCGGTTTGACTCCTCAACACCCAATCCCTAATTGCTCCCCGGGTGCTTACATAGCTACCCACTGCTCCACCTGGGTGTATCTCAGGTGTGATGGGTTAAATGCAGAGAAACAATTTCATCATTGTATATTTCCATACAATGATGACAACCCATAGCACATACTTCTATGAAGAGCTTCTGCAGTCCTGAAGTGCCTCTCATGAATGTCTACAACCTTACTATTGTTTATCTGTTATTTGTCCTCACACTGCCTTTTATCTCTAAGAAAGAAGAGCCATAGCTATGTAATTGTACATAAATTTGTTGTAGCACCTGTCTACAGTGAGATGAAGCTTGAGAGCAAATCACCCATACTCATCTGTTGCAAGGCTTTGACAGCTTTGTGAAACTCAGGTCTTATCTTAACTGCTACTCCCTTTATCTTAGTGATGGGGCCTTATAGGAAGGTTTCAGATGTGACAGGAGTCATCCATAAATGAGGCAAAAATAAATACCTTAACCTGATGTATAAAAAAAAATATTGTCTCATTAAATAAACATGTATCAATGTTTAGTTTTTTTGTTTTGTTTTCCATACAGTGCCTGGTCCCCCTTATCTGTCAGTGATTCACGACTCGAAGGCATCAGCTGTTGTTCACTGGGACCCTCCAGACCTGACCAATGGAATGGACCTCCAGGGATACCGGCTACAGTTTGGTCGAAAAGATGTCTCACCTTTGGCCACACTGGAATTTGCTCCCCAAGAACGAAAGTATTCTGTTGGCAACATTCATCTGGGTGCCACTTATCTCTTTAAGATCTCAGCCAAAAGCAGAGGGGGATTTGGGGAAGAGGCTGTGGCAGAACTCGCTGTTCCAGAGAATACCCCAGGAGGATACCCTCAAATTAATGAGGACTCCAATATAACATGCTGCTCAGTGCAGCTGTCATGGTCTCCACCAGTGCTGGCAGAGAGGAATGGGGTCATCACAGAGTACACTTTGGCCTATAAAGAAGCCGGCACCAGAGAAACACCACAGGAACTCCACTTACCTCCAAATCTTTCCAGCTATGTGCTCAACAGCCTCAAACCGAACTCTGCATATGATGTGAAAATACGTGCCCACACCAGTATAGGTCCAGGGCCCTACAGCCCGCCTATCCAGTATCGGACGGTGGCCATTGATCCTGCAGGTAGGGCTCGTCTGTTTCTTTACCAACCCAGTGACACAGGGTTGGAAATTGGCTAAAAGCAGTCTGCAACAACATAATAATGAAAACTACCCCACCCACTTCTTCAACCACTTCCACTTCTCCTAAAAGGAGGAAATATTGATGTTTAAAATTGCTTGCCATTGGATTCCTTGCTTCACTAACCCAAACCAGGTAAAATGAAAGTCAGTCAAGTTATAGTCAGTCATTTTAAGAAAGGGGAGAGCAGCCTAGAATTTAAGGTAAGTGTTGATTTATTTTTTGTCAGACACTTCAGTCAGTCCTTGCAGCCCTTGTAAAGCATATTCACACAACTTTACCATCTCACTTCCCAATTTTCAAACAAGGTAGGACTTCAGTTAAATTCAGTCTCTATAATAGTTTGTTTTGGAATATTTTAGGAATTCAGGAATCTTTTTTTTTTGTTTTTGAATTTTGTTTAAGTTCACGGGTTTGGTTTGAGATACTCTTCCCTCCTTATCACACTCCCTTCCTTGAAACTTCCTTTCCCTTTCCCCCGTCCCTTATCAGGACAGCTTGTGGCATGGCATCTGCACTGCTCAAGACTTCAGCATGCAGTGTTTAATGTCTGTCTCAATGTCTGTGTGGCAGCGCATTGGCAGTGCCAACTCAAGCTCTAACCTTGTCAGAACTGTTGGCTTTGGGTCTACAAGGATTAAATGTTGAATCGTCAAGTAGTCATGGTTCAAAGTCGGTAGTGAGATGGGTTGGCACTTCAAATGATGGTTAGCCAAAGGGCGTACCCTTGTTCTTCATGGGTTTGTTGTCCAAACATGCTGTGTGTGTGTTAACCAATGGCATTTCCTTTCTCACAGCCAGTCACAGTTCACTGTTGTATTCACACTTCACCTCAAAGGATAGTTGCAAGAAAATAACAACTTACATTTTGAAATGAAGTTTTTTATTATTATTTTCCTTTTACTTGTTTTCATTGTTTTTGGATTAGATTTAAAATGCACCTTTGTTTCCTTTTCTTTCTTTTTTTGCATTTGTCTTTCTAACAGATGTTCCAAAGAATTTCACTGTAAAGTGGGTCACCAAGACCACAGTAGTCCTTGCATGGAAGTTTTCTGAAAGCAAATCACCGTACAAATGCACGGTACGTGAAATGTTGGGAGTTAAAAAAAAAACATACTAAGCTGAATTATGTTTAAAAATGTAAATTCAATCTAAAATCCTGTTTATGTAATTAGAATGACTAAAATAATTTCAATTTAATTTCTAATTGTAAATGGTTTGATTATAATGTTCATATTTAAGTTGAAAACCTTTTTGGTGTGTCAATTGCAGTGTCATTGTACCCATCCTATTCCCTGCTAACCGCTTTCCCCCAGATTATTTACTTTTTGAATTATGATTTTTGAATTCTAGATTGAGTACAACAACCAGAAAATGGATGTGGATGCTAGACAATTGAAGGTGTTCATCACAGGGCTAAGGCACAACACCACTTATGAGTTCAGGGTGACCTGCCAAGAAAGTGTGGATGGTAGGCCACGGCATCGTGTGGTGACCAGGACGGCACCACTTTTCCTGGCCAAGAAACCCAAACTGGACATTTATGCTGAGCCTGAGAACATACTTACTATGTCCTTCCCACAAACCAACAACAAGGATGTCAAGTGAGTATAGAGAAAATTGGTATGTAAAACTGTTTAACTCTTCAAAATCTAGTGAGATGTTAGAGGTGTCATTGATTGTATTGTGAAATGTTTACTATGTAGTAGATTTCTTGATTTCTTGAGATTGCAGTTTACCTGTTCCAAGTACTGTTTTAGAGTAATAATAAAAATAAAGTAACATGAATTGTCTTGTTGATGTGTTTTCAGAAATTTTTATGTAGTAGTGGTGCCTCTTAAAACAACGACAGGAACAGTTAAAAACCTGAAGAGCCCTGATGAGATGGACATAGAGGAGGTAAGCGGAGGTCTTTTGGAAGCAATAGGGTTGTTTTTATAATGTAAATCCAGCACAAGATTCAATAACATTTTATGAAATTGTAAAAATCACTACTGTAAATGCAATATTTTTGAAATAGGCAACGCTTCTTACAAAAAAAAAAACTGTTTTCTAGAGTTTCTATGTTTTACGTATCATTGGTTGTGAAAGCTAGCTGTATTTGAAAGACCATGCAGCAGAATGAGCACGCACAGCAAATGCATCTCAGCTATGCTAATTCAAAGCATGCAGAGGAGAAAATTATGTAGTCATCTCCAACTTTTCCAATAGCTCGGGGGTCACCTTTGGCACCAGCTCAACGGAAGCCATTCCTATTGGATTTGGGATTACACAGCTTCCCTCTTATTAGAGCTTGCCTCTGACTCTAGTTTGAACTGATTCTTTTTTTTAGTCTACAATTTGTTTTATCTTAATCTTAAGCAGTTTACCACCTACTTATAACCAGTAATCTTTGACATAAAAATTTGATGATTTTTTTTTTCTTCTAAAATAAATAGTCTTGGAGAGTTTCAGGCAATGACAATCTTTTATAGACATTCTCACGAAGAAAACCAAAGCCTAATTTATCAGTGACGGAAATTATTGTGTCACTCATTTGATCATCACTGAAATCATCTGCTCCCTTATGTCCTTCCAATTGTAAGTTTTGCATGCTGCACAATATAAAAACAGCATCAAAATCTCACTAGGTCAGACTTAATTGTTCTCCAGGTCTAGTTCTTGTAAATTATCTGTCAGGTAATTTAAGACCAATTAGCAAAGGCAAACAAGAACACAACAAATGGGTGTATTTAGAAAGAAACTAATACATGTTTGACTTTGGAAAGCTTTTGCGGGAAGTGATCCCAAAGAGACGTTCACGCCGTCAGCTGGCTCAGCTGGACCAGAGGAATCCCTACATAACAGCCTGCTTCAAGCAGCTGCCCCCCAGCTTCACAGTGGGGTCTGACCACCGCTTCAGCAGCTGTGAGAATAAGGCTCTTGAACCTGGTCAGGAGTATGTCTTCTTCCTGCTGGCTGAACTCAATGCCACTGTGGGGGTGAGTTTCTTGATCAGCTCATTTCAACACAATTAAGTTGAACTGATTTTAGTTCATTTTGTTGTTTTATGAAAATCAGCTTATAACTCCGTTTTATTTATTTTATCATGAGCTGCCTCAGCGTTTCTTAGAAATTTAGCTTATTTTCATCATATACAAGTATATAATGCATGTGTATGTAAAGCATCAAAAGTAGTCTAGAATACTTTTTTTGTACTTCCACTTGATGGTAAGTACCAGTATATTATCCATAAGTGTAAATAAAACATTTCAGTTACACCTGCAGTGTATTCCAGACACTCACAAAATGTACATTTCCATTTAGTGAAGTTCAAGAAAATAAAATGGATTCCTTATGAGAGTTGAATTTGGGTCTTTGGCATCTTACCCTTTCTTGGATCCTACTCAACTAGCCAGCCACTCTGCATGGGGGCGCCCAGCTGCAGATTTTATTGCTGTTTTATTTCAGTGCCTCAGTCAAGACTGATCACACACTGTGAGGAAACACTCCGACCGTTTAAAGTTCTGCCCTCAATAATTCTTTCTGAGCAGAGCTACAACTGATTCCATCAATCTATGTGTATTTTTTATTTTATTTAATACTTTGCAGACCATATTAAATGAGTTTGAGAAACAAATATAGTCTGCAACCACCAGTTGATGATCTGTATAATATACCATACCATACCACTTTATTTATAAAGCACATAAAAACAGCAACAAGGCCAACCAAAGTGCTGTACAGCAAAAAATAAATAAATAAAACAAGCAAAAGGACATAGCAAAAACTACATAGATCCACAGAAGTAAAAATAAGAACAAAATGACTAACATTATAAAATACAGACAAGTTAAAATCAACTCACACGGTGTCAAAAGCCAGGGAATAAAAGTGTTGTTTTTAAATGTGACTTAAAAAACAGTGAGAGATGGAACCTGTCTGACATGCAGTGGTAACTTGTTCCACAGTTTTGGACCTTCAACAGAAAAAGCCCCGTCACCTCTGAGCTTAAAACGAGTGCCTTGAACCAATGAAAGCATCTGGTCTGCTGGCCTCATGGAGCGCTGTGGGACATATGGCTGCAGCAGATCAGCGAGATAGGAGAGGGCAGAACAGTTCAGAGATTTAAAAACATACAGAAGGGTTTTTTAATGAATTTGAAAGGTGAAACCCCCTCTATTTTGGTTCGACTCCAGCGAAATGATGGACGTCGCTCAAGAACTCAAGATCTTTATTTCTTTCAGAACATCGCTGTTACAGAAAAACAAGTGTGGTTGGTGGTGGTTTCATACGTAGCTCCTGCTCCTACTTTGAAACCATCACACTGCAAAAGGGCACTCCACCAACAGCTTTCAACTTTTAACAATGTGATCATTTAGTTTTAAGAACAAAAATATTTCCCATAAAAATGAAACCCAAAAAAGATGTGCATCATGCCAGTGAAGTGAATACACGGTACAGATTCTGCTGGTAACTTAGCTTTGAAGACTTTATCTTAGGCCAGTTCACTGAACTCCACTCAGTTTTTACAATCACTACAATCAACTTTCACTGTACTGATGTTTTTTCTTGTTGTTGTCGTTTTCTCTTTCAGAAAATGTTTGCAACTAGCCCTTATACCGACACAGTGATGACTCCTGAGCTGGTTGTGGACCCTCTGCCAGTGGAAACTGGTGATGGACTCATATGGGTGGTTGGCCCTGTCTTGGCTGTTGTCTTCATCATTGGCATTGTCATCTCCATTCTCCTTTTGAAAAAGTGAGTTGACTTTAGAATTGTGAGATTTTATTGAACGATCTAGGACAGAGTAAATTTAAAAAATGGAATTCAAAAATGTACATATTTTGCTATAAATGTAGAAAAATAGTTTTGAAGTCTTTGGGTAGATTTCAAGATGCTGTTATTTTCCGTGGGTTGCCCATATAAAAAGCTGTCTTTTTAAAAGCTCTTTAACAGCTTGACTTTTCATTTTTGCTGTGAACCTACAGTAACATTTGGCAACACAGTGAATTAAATCATAGCTTTGCATTGTTGGTACCGGCTGCAGGCACAGACCTCTAAAAGCTTAAAAACAGAAATCCATGTTTTGTTAATATTTTGTGAATTGAGCTGAACATGATATACAATTCTATTTCCCTGCCCATTCAGCAGCATGACAAGATGCTTGCGATATTTCATGTCGAACCAGTTATTTGGAGTTTAACTGGAAAATGTGGTTATTGGAAAATAATTGCATGTTAGGACGCATGCTGAGGAAGTGGCATATTTTGTATTCATTGCAGCATCATATTTGCACACCCAGTAACGTTGCATGTAAATGTGGCTTTGTTGTGGAAAAAAGATGGCTATGGAAAGTGAGCTGATGGGAGAGTGAGGAGATGATGAGATTCCTTGAGGCAATGCTTAAAACTAGACAGTATAAATACCAGATTTTAATTTATTGCTTTTAGTTAAAATAATACCAATTAACTGTTACAAAAACACAGTTTCAGTACCTTTTTTTTTTTTACCGTTTAAAGTTAATTATTCATTGCAGTGTTTGTGGACTTTCATTTAAAGTTTGGTTAATTAAACTAGAGTAGAATAAACACACATTTCATATAAATATACTACAGTTTATAGTAGCTGTTTCTGTTAACTTTAGAGCCTGCAAGGACTGAGTAGTGGGTGTAAAAGGGAGTCCCTACACACGAGAAGAGCTTCCTGGGTTCTTCAAAAGGAGCCAGTAGGCTGGTGTTACCGATATAAGTACAGCATGATACTGTCAGATGATCCCTTGCTGTCTGACCTTGCCTTACCTCCATCTTGGTGGTTAAGGAGAGTAACATCTCTCCTTGAATCTCTCTTTTTTCTCCAATATCTTCCTCTTCATCTCACTCTCCTGCCTCTCCTTGTTGAATAGTGTTTCCTGGGTCTGCCCTTGGCCCTGACATTTCCCCCTTTTCCTATGTGTTTCTGCACCCTCGTGCACACACACGTAACACACACATACACTTACGAATGCATGTGCTTATTTCCACATTTCATCAAATGCACACTTATTTTCACCTGCTGACATGACTACATGCACTCTTCACCTCCAGAGGCTGTTGAGCTATATCGCCTTTTTTTAACCAAGCCCAACAGTGACCCCAGTAAATTTTAAACTGCTCTCTGTTGATTTATATCTCTTCTTGCCTTTTCCTCTTCCTTTCTCCTTGTGTGTTGTGTTTTTTACCATTTTTATACATTTATTTGGCTCCTTTTGCTTTCTCTGGAAACAGCAAACCAGACAGGTAAGGCGTAGTTTTACTTAGATTCAGTGCATTTCAACAATAAAGGACAGAATAGTCTGCATTAAATTTTTGCATACTAGTCTAGTTCCAGTGGTGGCATTTCTTGGAGCCAGTTTGTGTCCAGTTGGCTAAAGATGTTGAGTTGTAAGCTGCAGTAATGCAAGGATGTGCAGTTGCAAGAGATTAGTTTGTGGCGATGAATCAAAGTTAATGCGTTCGAGCATTTTAAGTCCATTTGCACATAGAAAAAGTTCTGAGAAAAGGCTGTCTGTGCACAGTTTTACCTATTAATGTTCTTTAAAAATGTTAATCATCTGTTGCATTAAACACTGACATAGTTATACTGTTTTTGTTTTACAGCCGCAAAAGGAAAGAGTCTGAGCCACGCACCAAATGTCTGCTGAATAATGCAGATATTACACCCCACCACCCTACAGATCCTGTGGAAATGAGACGCATCAACTTCCAAACTCCAGGTAGGACAGACTCAAAACACATATTGCAAACACTTCAGTATTGTCCTTCATGTAGGTTTACTCAGGTTGTGAGTTTTATTGAAAAAGAGGGACGAGTTGTAAAGTTTAAAGATGCATAAACCGTAAGGAGACTGCGATGAATGACAAAAATTTTAAATGGTTTAAAAGAAACTTCAAACCCTCCAATTTTTTATCTAATCCAACAAAAAGCTGTTTTCAAATGTGGCCAAAAATAAAACTTACATTAGGAGTATCACCTATTGAATTTATGGCTGTTTGCTATATATTGTATAATGTAATACTTTGAACAAATAACAAATATATGGCAGAACAGAACTTTCCCATTTAACACCACAGTATAAAATTAAAGGTTTTGAGTTTGTAAGAAAGGGCAAATTTAAATGTGTGCATTGGCAGTCACATAAATAAGAGTACACTAGTCCCTCATTTATCGCGGGGGATCCGTACCCTGAAGCCCTACGATAAGTGAAAAACCGTGAAGTAGGAATAGTAGTACAAGTAGTAAGTAGTAGTTTATTTTAGTATTTATTTATTTATTTATTTATTTATTTATTTATTAAGGTGTTTTAAACCCTTCCCACACTCTTGCAACATTCTAAACAATGTCTCTAAACTCTAAACGCTCTAAAAGAGCACAGAATGTCATGATTTCAGCTCCCTGCCTCCTCTGCCCTTTGCTACTTGCAAGTGCTCTTGGCCACGCCCACTTCTCGCTCTGCACAGTGAACAGCTGATCAGCTGCAGCAGGAAGTTTATCCTGCAGTATGGGCTGTACAAAGCTGCAGGAGGTGCTAAATCATTTAAAATGATTTATTTTAAATAAAAATTCCATGCCGATTGTGTGGCTCATCCATCAATTAGCCAGTTGTGTGTCATGTCCACTCTTATTTTGAAAAACCGCAATAGAGCGAGTCTGCAATAAACGAGCCGCAAAGTAGCGAGGGACTACTGTATACGCAAATGCAAACCTGTGCTACAGCCTTTATGTCCACTGAGTGCTCTCACATCTTTGGGTTCAACATCATTTGGCCTCCATAACTCCCTGCAGGCCATATCTATGCATTCATTGTGTCTCCAAGTAACAATTAACCACTGATGAGTAACAAATTGTTGGAAAGTTTGTCTCGTGTTCAACTGGAAACATATCCTGTTTTGTTCTCTGGGGTTTACATGCTTCCACTGTTGTCTTTCCTCTCTTCTGATGATCATCCAAGCTAAAGTCGGGTGTTTGCAGCTGAGCACATTACATCCTGCTCACATTCTTTTAGGCTTCTACTGCGAAAGCTTGGCCGATATCATCCTCCCACAAATCTTTGAAGGCTCATCTTTCTGTCCGTCTCTCTGCTGTCAAGTGTTTTGTGATTTAGTTTAAATGTCTTCTTGAGTTTGCTGGGTGGGTTCTTTGGAGCTACATCTAAATTGTTGAATAATTCAAGTCACAACCTGAAAACGAATCCCAGCAGATTTTTAATTGTTCTACATTTCAAATCCTGTTCTTCTGTTTGAGCTAATTTAATCCAGATTAGTTACATTTAGCCACGCATAAATGTACAGAATGCTTCTTATTTAAAAAAAGAACGTTTTATACATCGTATATGTTTTTGAGGTGTCGATGTTTCAGACAAGATAATCTGCTTTGTGTAATCTGATGCAACGCAGACCTGCACTTCGAGAAACTTGTTCAGGCTCAAATTGCGGAAAGCAAGCAACAGAGATGGAAAATTCTGAGGAAACGCACCAAAGGAAGAAAATAACAGTATAGTTTCTGTTTATTTCTTCTTCCTTTTCCCCCTTCCATGTTTTCTAGCTTAGTTGTCTTTCAGCCATCCATCTGTCATCCGTGGCCAGCCTCTGCACCATCAAAAGGCTCGCATTTCAAAACAGAGCATTTCTCCTCTGCTTCTTTGGGAGCTCAAACATGCTGCCTTGAGTTTGTTTCTTTGGGCACAACAGACATCTTTACATCAGAGAGTAGAATTGTAGACACACAAGACACAGAAATGTCGATGTTCATTTCATCGTCCTCCTTTGTATTAAGCTTGCCTATGTGAAACTTTGTCGGTGGCTCCGATGATACAATGACTGCCTGTACGATTTCTGTCTTTTTTTTACCTCCAGTGCTTTTTTAATCATTATATTCAAGCTGTCCTGTGCTCTCCCTTAAACATTTAAAGCTCTCGTTACAATCTTTTGCTTCCTTTTCACAAAGGATTCACTAATACATGCACAGGTTTCGCTTTATATACCACAAGTGCTCTCATTCTGCAGCTCTGCCACCGTTCTGCAGGATTGGTTGCTGCCGTTATCTCCACACCCTGTAAATTTAATTTGAATGGACATTTTAGCCCAATTAAGAGGGCCGGTGAGCATTTGTGAACATTCCCATCAGCTAATAGAGAGCGATGCTCAATGAGCATGCTCCCAGTGCAGTTTTCTAAGGGCTCTTCAGTCCATCAGAGCATATGCTACATTGGCTACATATGCCTACTGAACCCTGGTGCTGGGGAACATAGAATATGTTTTGATTAGGTTTCCTTTGAGCAAATGTCTGTGTTCACTGTGTGTGTGTGTGTTGGTACTTTGAGTCCTGGAGGGGATCTGGCTGCCTCACAGCAACATCCTGTAACATCTCGAGGCAGACGATGTGCAGTTTTGTCGTTATCTTCCTTAGTGCCACGAGGTTAATTAGTGTGGGGATAAAGTGATAAAGCAGCACAACTCAGTGGATATCTATTGTTTATCTCTGACCAAACCCTGTCCCTCTTTCACTGTATTCAATTACTTTTTTTACTCCTACTTCTTCTGAAGAATAACAAACAAATACAGTCTATAATACAGGGAAACAACTTCCCTAAAACAAGATTGTGTTAAACCTAAATTAAAGCAAAACATTTTAAAAAATTACACTGCAATGCAACAGGTTTTATTTAAAAACAAATATTAACCACATGCAAGCAGTAGTTTTCTACAGAAATATCATTTTGTAGCTCATCTTAAGTTCCCTTCAAAGTGAGCAATTTTTCCAGCTTGTCTTTTTCTTCCTTTTGACGTGTTCGTTTTGAAGCCCTTGAATCACTGACAAAACAGAATTTCAGAACTCAAAATAGCCAATATTTTATGTGTAAAATTAAACAAATTAGCATTTTTCTTCTATCCACAGCTGGGTTAGAAAACCTGGAGTTTAATTAACCAATAAATGGACATAACAGCAGGCATTCAGGAAGTCGGAGGCTGAATTTTCATTCATCCATTCAACCTTTATTTAAACAGATCAATCACATTGAGCCTCATTTACAAATGAGACCTGTTTGGACAGATAATAAGTGATGAAAGTGATAACACAGGATTTGGAGACCAAAAAAAAAAAAAAAATCCTAACATGCTCTTAATCTTTGGCTGAAGGTTTAACAGCGTAATAGTGAAAAAACAAAAAAAAATCTTGCACAACGACGCCGGCATTCTGCAAGGAGCAGGGGGTGGGGGGTGCATGGGCAATGAGCATGTCCAGAGACAACATACAGATGTACTACAAAGTTCAAATAAAATCACTCATGCATGCGATCACAAAACAAAACCATAAATCAGAAAAATAAAACCATCTAAACGTAGAACGCTCAACAGTTAGTGGCCCCAGATCACACCAAGGATAAAACAAGGTGCGTACCACCAGAACTGTGTGTTCTGGTCTTAACTGTAAACTAAAGCACTAACTTTTTTTATTAGCTCTATTAAAACACTTGCATAAGATGTATTTAGTGTCAGTGCTGGGCAGGACTTTGCTGCTAGATTCATTCCACAGATTGTTTGCCTAAAATTAAATCTAGAGTTTGATACCACAAAATAAACAAATAGAATGTCAAACCCTCCTCACTGCAATGATTTTACTCTTTTTGTACCAATTAAAAATAGCCCTGCTGCTTATTAGCAACGGTCCTGTTGTCAGACACACAGCTTCTGCTCTGCGTTAGCCTTTAAAAAATAGCCTAGCATCATTATGAGCCCTGGATATCAGTCAGAGCAGTTTTACTACTCTCGGTTTGATGGGTTATATAAAAGGCTGGCACAGTTAGAAGAGTGGAGCAGCCAAACCCTTGAATGACAAGGATTTGTACTAATTTTATAATTAATCTGACCCTTATAGCTAAACTCTCTTTTAACTCTTTTCCATCATCTGATGAACCAACATAAACATTTACAATTCATCTTCTGAAACTCTCACTGCACTAATCTTATCTGTGTTATACCAACAAATATAATATTAATTGAACTAACAGTGATAATATTAATTAAAGTCCGTAGTAAACACAATTTGAAGAAATATGCAAATATGACATCCCTGTGAAAACATAGTTTAAACTATCAGGAGAATCTCAATCATCCCTATATGGGAAAAATAAAAGCTTACATTAAAATATATATAATTAAACCCCCCCACACACACACTCTTTCTGTCTCCATTTTGTTTTTTCTACATCTTTACCCATCATTACAGCATCTCATGCAACACCTTACACCCCCACAGTTCTGTAAGCGGAAACAAAATGCTTTCTCATCTCAGCCAACATTTTCCTGCAGAAAGCACCGCACACTTGAACATCCTGCAGACATCAGCCAGTCTCTTGTATGTATCAGCAACCTACATGTTCCTCCAGATTACAGCGGCAGCTATAACAACCGTGCCCTCCTCATCCTCCTCCTCGCAGTTCTGTCAAATCGCATGCACACACATGCACACGCTTCCACGTAAACAGAATCAGACATGCCTGCACCTCCTCCCCGCTGTGATGAATGACGTTTGGAGACAGGGGATCAGAGTACCACCCGCAAGGCTTAATTAGTCATTGTCACAAATCAATTAGGGAGAGGAGGATGTTCAGTGTCTTCATCCTTTTGCTCTCACTTGACGCCGCTAGCGCGATGTCTACACACGAAGATGTCTGCACGAGGTAAACTCACCTGAGGCTTAGTGCTGTGACTAT